ATAATATATATACATATAACATATTTGAGTTTCCACATAAAAGGTTACAGAAAAATAATTGATTTTTCTACTCTCTGTTAATAAGGAAAAAAAAGGCCGCTGAATACCAGGAAGAAAGTAAAGCTAACGGGTTTTGGTTTTTTTCTGTCTTTTTTTCTTTCCTTCGCGCCAGGTTGGTCTACCCACAGCAGAGCTGGACTGTGACCTTGGGGAGTACGTGGAGATCATCTGTGGTACGTACACGGCAGAATTGTGTCCCTAGCTACTCTACTTTCCTTTCAGCGGGTGGTTGGCGGGTGCTCTGGTGTGGTTTGCTCTTTCTTTCCTATCAAACATCTATCATCCTGATCTCCCCTCCTCCTTCTTTCTTGTGTTTGTTACTCTCTTGTAACACCTCTAGTCTTCGGCACTTATATGGCCTTATTGTGTTGCAAGTGCTGTAAAACTCTTACTACAACTAAAACTAAAACTTTGTATTCTCCGTCCTCTTGTGCCTCTGTGGTACGTAAAAGTAAAGTAAAGTTGTTCCCACATCCGATCCAGACATTGGGGATTGCCTTGTTAGTGAGACGACTTCCTGGGCCTTTGACATATTGTGGTAGGGTGGCCAGTTCCTTTCCACGCCGCCTTTACTTCCCCAACTCGAAGTCAGGTACCCATTACTGCTGGGTGGGCAGGAGGGGGCCAAAAAAAATATGTGTCCGAACCGAGGCTCGAACCCATACTTTCCGCTTCAGAGACGAGCACACTAACCGCTCCGCCACCGTACCACTGTGGTACGTACAGGACATGATTTTGTTGCTAGGTTATCTTCGAAAATGAAACGCGTTTGTTTTTCTTCAAGGTCGAGAGTCGAATTCAGTTGTAATTGTGTGCCAAAACGGTAGCTTTTGCCGCGGGCATATATGTTACTTTTTCTTCTTCTTCTTCATCTTGTTTTTCTTCTTCTTCTTCATCTTCTTCTTCTTCATCTTCTTCTTCTTCTTCTTTTTCTTCTTCTTTTT